GGTCACAAGCTGGCAGAGGGTAGGTTTAGGTTAGACATCAGGAGGCGATATTTCACGGTCAGGGTGGCTAGGGTCTGGAACCAACTTCCAAGAGAGGTGGTGCAGGCTCCTACCCTGGGGGTTTTTAAGAGGAGGTTAGATGAACACCTTGCTGGGGTCGTTTGACCCCAGTACTCTTTCCTGCCATGGCAGGGGGTCGGACTAGATGATCTGCTCAGGTCCCTTCCGACCCTAGAAACTATGAATTCAGCTGACGCTACTCCAATTGCCCTGAAAAGGCAGATACGTCTCCCTCCACATAGGTCCCTTTGGCTGAAAGGGATGGGCCTGGAGTTCAAGACTGGTCTCCTTAGCAGCCCTATTTCATGCGGATCACCAGGTCCAAACAGGTCTCCCCTCTTGGAAACCTCAGCTTGGGATGGGAGCAACCCTTGGGGGCTATGACAGAGGTGGCAATTAGACTCTTACTACAAACTCAGGTGCTGGTGGTATCCTCATCTTATAGGTTCCATCCATGAGCTGCAGGGAAGGAGTAAAACATGGTAGTGGAGGTCACCAAGCAGAGGGGTAGGTCCTAGTACAAGCAGTTCTGGATTCACTCAGGACAGACCTGGGGGAGAGCAGTTGTTGGCCAGCTTTCCCAGTTCTGTCTGGCTTCTCTTCTAGATGGCAGGGGGGGAGGTAATCAAGTCATCCCTCACCAGTCTGGCCTGTGAGGGAAGCTTCATCCTAAGCTATAGATCTACCCAACAAACAAGTTAGGAGGCAAGAATAGATGAGTTGGACCCCTTTCCCATACTGTAAAGGTCATGTTATACGTTACTGAAGTTAAATATAGTTTTGTAAATGGTGATGACTTATTTGTACCTAAGAATATAACCAAATATGACAACTTCCATGAATCTATTGTAAAAAAGTGCTGATGTTAGGGAGGAAGATACTAAAAATCAGACAAAGGCAGGGAACTGGTGTTAGCACAAACGTGGAAGACGATAGCAAGAAGCTGTAATCAACTCAGGAGTGGTGCTGAGGGCACAACTTCCCCAGAAATCAAATGCAACACAGAGCTGGGAATTAAACATATTAAGCTAAACTCCTTAGTCTAAAAAACACGAAGATTTCTGAAGAAAATCCACAGATCAAGCTAGGTAGGTGACTTGTCATGAGAGAAAAACCTGGAGGCAACTTCAGGTAATAGCTTTCCCCTCGTCATGTGACAAGACTGATTGTGCCACCAAACTGTAAACAGGCAAAGAACCCACTGCAAGAGATCTATGAATCTTGGTACAAAGATTTAATAAATAAATAAGTCACCCCTATGCTTTCTGCTTGCTCACTTCTTAGCTGTGTTGATCATTTTGTTTTTTATTTTGGGCTCGCGAATCTTCCTCATTTTACTGCAGGTTCTTTACTGATGACTGAAGCTAAATTCACCAAGCCTTATATCACACACATCTTACAATGATGCTGTTTTTGTAAAACCCAACTACAGCTGGTTCCTTTTTTTTTGCCTGAAGAAAGGATAAAGCAAGATTTTTAATTAAGTGTAGTTTAGAGGAGCATTCGCAGGCTCTGGAAGAGGAAACTGTTGGAGTAAGCTACATTTGATAGTGCTTTAGCCCTTGCTGGAGACAAAGACATCCCCAACTCACCTACAGAATCAAATCCACAGCCAGACACTCTGGAACAGCGCGGTGTGCAGGGCTGCTGTAATAACCCACTCTCATAGGCTTGCAGACATGGAAAAAGAACAAAAATGGTGCTTTACTCTACTCTACTTCTGGCCATCATGCATTAGTTGGATGTAGCTTTCCCAGTGTCTGTGCAGATTAGGCACTTTAGTGGGGTTTTTATCTAACCGTTGATTGAATCAGCCTACATATAAGCACCAAAAAGCCCTGCTGAAGCTCCCGATCTAGACAGATACTTCAGAACTGGGTCAAAGTAATGAGCTGCTTCTGGTAAGGTGTGCCCCATCCCCTCTCTCCCTCCCACCGTGTCTATCAGTGCCCATAGAAAGCTGTGTCCCCTGGATACCTGTTGCACACAGGATTGAAAGGTTACAAAACAGAAGACAGCCATTTGCTTTGTATTTCTTTCCAAAGGTTCAGGAAAGCCTTTGTATGCATCTGAAACTGTGAGAGATGTTTGAGAGAAGCGTGCATCTATACAGGCAATAAATTCAAAAGAGCCACCACTTCCATTATCATGTTTTTATCGCCTCTGAGAACTGAACACATCAGTGTTTCTAGAAGACACGCGAATAGAGAGGTAGCCCTCTAGAAGACAGATCTGAAAAATATTAAATTGAAAGTGAAGGCAAGATTCCTCCTCTGAACTGGGTGTTAGATTCAAAGGCCATACTGAGGTAGCATATTCTGATATTTGCAAGATACCTAAAACTTTTGTACTGTAATCACAGACCCACTCGGATGGATTTTGAGCTCAGTTGGACAGACCTCTGGTTTTAATGCCATACACAAATTTGAAGAATATTAAGATAATTTAGTCCTAACACCATTAAAATAGTAAAGCTCTCTGAACATCCTGACTTTCCTGGTTGGGACTGAAGCCAGGGGAAAATGCTATCCTACTAGTAATTTTAAAACTAAATGCTAATTTCTAATGTAGACTAACAAAGAAAATCCTTTATCACTGATCAGATATTTCAGAAATTTTATGCTGAATCTTGTTTCTTTAATGCATGAAATGACCCAATATTTATTTTATTTTTAGAGGAACAGTTCTTTCAGCAACTCTCCTAATAAATCAGTCTTGGTCTTGCTGTTATGGAGCCGGTCAGTAACTTAAAAAAATTAAGTGTAAAGCTTTTGTAAGCCAATTTTAATTCATGACTGATAAAGAAGATGGACTTTGCAAAACTAAATAAAGGTTCCTGGTGTGCTTCAGAATACTTGCTGGAATGATTAATTTAGTTTCATCCCAGACTTGACACTGGAGAGCTGTAGTGTGCTGAATCAGGAAATAAGTTAGCTTTTCAAGATAACTTCTATGAATGATGAGGCATCTACGCTAATAATCATATTACACTCTCTGTATTTAAATCCCGTTCATACCTTTCTAACAAAGGCACAAAATATAATCTCTTGGAGCACAGATGCAAACTGGGTTGGAACAGAAGCTCAACTTGAATATTCGATTCTTGCAAGCAAAAATACTAAGCTGAAGTAGCATCATCTCCTGTTTTACTGGGTTAGGAATCTGCCCTGTTTTCTGCCTGACACCTCTCAATTCAGTACCTTGGAGAGGCTTAATGCTAACCCTGACAACCCTTTTCAAATCTCCCCTAAACC